TCTTTAAAAACGAGCTCCGTTGGTGGTTCCCGTAAAGTGGGTTAAACACCAACTTCCGTTCTCGCGGGGGGAAGTGGAAGTGAATATGGTTCAAAAACTTTTTTTTTTTTGTTCCGTTTGAAAACCTTTTAATCCCCCCTTTTCCCCCGGGCCCAAAAACATTTTTTTTTCTCCCCCCCCCCCCCCCCACATTTTGCATAACCATTGTCTTCAATTTCCCTAGGGGTGACTGTAATACCCAGGAGAACTTGCAAACAATGGTCATGCAGAATTCTTAGGGGTAAACAACATGCATTATGGTCTATGTGAAAATAGTGAATCGATAAAACTACTTCGAAGGCATTTACAGAACAAAAACAACAAAGCTTATACGGTAGAGACAAAAGATGTACTGTGCTATAACGTGTTTTACAAATTTGAGAACTTGTCAAGTAGTCGAGACGAATTTGAAGCAAAATTGCCTAGCAAGATGTCTACTGACATGAATAAAGCACTGACTCGTTCCAACCTTCTTTTTAACTGGCACGGTTGGAGCAGGAGTTTATGGGTTGCACGTCGTAAGAGAGGCTGAGAAGATTCAACGCCTTACTCTCCTTATCTTTCTCGTTAATCCAAGCTGAGGTCACAGTTTACCCCCTATTCACAAAAAGTGAATTCCCGCAAGTTGTCTGGGAAAGGTGCGGACCAAGTGCCGTCCTATTTACCAACAAAAACAAGAAACAGCAAAACTTAAGTTCATGAAAACACAAAAAAAGACCGAGTCCAATATCTAGTCATCTTAACCGAACAAACTTGGTCAATAAAGGATTTATTAAATGACCGAAAAGAGGACTTTCTCTTGCGGAGCCACAGCGGGAACTGAATCTCGCAGGGGCAAGAAAAAAGGCGACACGCCGCGTGTCGCCTTTTGTCGCGTGGGGTGATTTTCACGCGCGCTCGCGTTTCGCTCGTTCTACTATCCCTGAGGAAAAATGGGGACTACTCGCAGTCTAGATAGCCCGGTGCCCTTTATTTTCGTCTCTTCGTTTTTCTTCTCTTCATTTTCTGCAGCTTTCTTTCGCTGATTTGTCGATTACAATTGCACATCTCTCTCGGACAAATCACAAAGATTGTGTTAAGTTGGCCATAAATATGTGAGTGGAAATGAATTAGCCTTGACCGTTATTAGCACAAGGTGGACGTATTCAAAAATACAATCCCAGGTTTGAAACAATTTCCTTTGTTTATCATAAACATCAAGATTACTTCCCAGACTTGTTATGTCGACATACAGCGTGTGATGTAAACAGAAGAGTAGGTTAAGGACATTACCACTCTGTTAATTACTACATCTTTCCAAATTGTACTGTGTATGATATTTAGTTTGAATAAATATACTCCACTAAGGACCACCATTCGTTCTTTACACCTTCTATTGAAGTGCAGTTTGTCCCCTCAAAAGCCCTAAAGCTTGTAATTGGGAAAGTTAAATTGTTTTTAAGCCATCAAATGTTTCCCACTGAGGCATTCGTAGTAGGATGTAGGCATTCCCTTTACGGTAAAATAAAATAATTAATTAATTGGATAAAAAGTCTGGCTAGGAACGATTTCGTATTGATTATTCAACAATTTTAATCGCTAAAAGCTAAATGCATAGCCAGTTTATTTTTTCAGTTTTTGTTAACTTCTTGTTTGCAAAAAGCAGTGATGCAGCGATGTTATATAATTTTAAGTGAACGTTTGGTATGAAATACAGTGCCACCCAATAAATTCTGACCTCGTCGCCCGGAAATTAGTCGCAGCATCGGGTAACAATATCCGTTTCTGGTTCACAAGTTGTTCGCACGTGTGGAGATCAGAATCCAACACCTTTCGCTCTGCGAAGTGGCTATGATGCAAAAAACTGACATTACCAAGCTTAAAAGTGTGAAAAGTCAGTCTCAAAAAGAAGCAAATGCTGTATTCTGTTTTGTTAATGAATATCTTTGCATTCTTCGTCATTCGTATTCTGCCTCATGATTAGTTGAATCCTGTTGTTGTTTTTGCCGTGATCCTTCGCTTTTAATTGTTGCCAATTGGCTTGTGCTTAGGCTCTTTAATACCGCCGGAGATGATTGTAGTCTCTTGCGGCCTTTAACTTTATCGTTATAGGGCAGTTCAATTTTAGGAAGAGCCAAACTTCTTCCGCGTTGTTTGATCAGCGATCCCTGAAGTTCCCTGTCGTAACTGATGGAGTGTTGGACAGGAGGCAAAGGCCAAACAACAAGACCCTCTTCTGTAGACTGTAATGGCGGTAAACGCCTTAATTCAAGAAAACTCATTGGCGATCTGCAACTGAAATCAGATTGCCTTCGCTGATATAGCCTGTCCTCTCTTCTTGAGTAACCCACCAGAAAGTCTCCTCTATCGCTAACATGTGTGTGGACTGCGCTGGATACTTTAAGTCGTTTATCACTTGTTTTTGCAGGTTCGATAGCCTGAAGTTCGCTTCTTAATGAAACAAGATTACGCTGAATATTTCGCATTTCTCGTTCTTCCTCTTTCGCCAGTTGACCGAGCTGTCTGCCAAGTCTTTCATTTTCTCGCTCATTTTTTAGTTTAGCTTCGACAATATTTTTGATAAGTTTGCGACGGAGGGCCCTTGCTTTTTCACCTTCTTCGTCCTCCGCCGTTATCATAGCTCAACAACTTGGTTCGCAACTTGTATTTTACAGTTTCTTTAAAGGTCAGCGAACGTATTTTCCTAATAATAAAGAATTTTCCGTACCTTTCTGGATTTACCACAAACTTTCTGCGA